GCATGTGAAACTGGAGAACGTCTTTGCTCTTTTTCCAACATAGACAGGCTCACTGGAGCCAATGCTAAATCGAAATAAACTGCTTTAACCTGAAGTCAGCTTGTGCACATTGCTCCTTCTGCTGGTTTAACTCCCCATTAAATCATAATATATTGCCTCTTTAGGCCTTGCAATGTACTTTATAATACTTGCGGGTGTGTGATTCATCCTATGAGATCTATGCGAAGGAGTCAGGCCAATTTTATTGTTACGAGCAGATTATAACTACAGAGCAATGAATAGCGAGTGAATTTTGCCTTCAGGCATTGTTATGCAAACTCTAAACAGGCCTCTTCACCCCTCCAACTCCTCCTTCAGGAGTCACAACGGCATTGCTTAATTTGGGGAGGAAATGAGGGTGAGAGAAACCAGAACCATAATTAGGGAGAGTCTGGTGTATCACTGCACTGACTTTACTGAAAAGGTCCTGCAGACAAAGCTTTAGCAGCCAGTTTCAAAACCATCATTGTGATTAGACAGCATTCCTGAACTCTCTCACCTAGGTGAGGGCTTAATTGTGTGAAAGTCTGTAAAGGACTGCACTGTTATCCTCTTTCATCCACCTGTCCGTTTCCCCCCCCCCCGTGTCCTAGGTCAGCTTTTTGCAGCCTAGCGTGATCCATATTTTCTGAAACATCTCCCATGAGGTCTTCTGCCCATCAGCTACGATCATGGGAATTGTAGTCCAGCTCCTCTGGAAGGCACCAGGTTGTGGGATGCAGCTCAGAATCCTGTATGAGATACTGCTTTTGTTGTTTGTTGTTAGCTTGGTTTTGGTATGTCCTGCACCTCCTGTTTCAACCAGGGAGGGGTGAGAATTTCAGCTTCGGTAAGGAATGCCAACATTTGCCAAGTTCTCTTAAACCGATTGGATCTGATTTGGTTTGTGCTCTGCCTTTCTTTCCAAACATGGAAAGAAACATTTCCAAACGTAAGATAGCTTAATCAGTTCAACAGCAGAAAAAAGATGACATTAATGGAAGGCAAGGCAAGGTAAGAGATTCACCCATAAGTAACCTCCCTACGATCTGGACTAGCAAAATACTGTATTCAGTTAAATACTGTGCATCAGTTATACTACAGTTTGGAAAAGTTGCTGTTTCAGATGACGGCTCCCAGAATCAGTTAGGATTGATTGCTTTTAGAAACATATATTTGAATTCCTAAATATTTAGCTATATTTGTAATGTTAAATCAGGATAGCCAGTTCTTCTTCATCTTTAGCACTTGTGGGAGTAACTGGACCTATTGCATTTATCCAAAACAGATGGTTAAGAATTCCATTCAGTTTGCCTGTGAAACAAATGTTTAGAATATCTGCAAACTGCTTCATAAATTCAGCAGGAAGAACTTGAGAGTTTTTTTTTTTTAAAAAAAATCTAAATATGGCAAAAATGCAACTTCTTGATTATTGTATACCTACTTTCAGCTTGCACCATGTAGGCTCTCCTGTACTTAGGAAAGCTATATTGTGGTCAATGGTGGGACAGCTGAGTAGAAGGTTGAAGACTTCTTGATTATTGTATACCTACTTTCAGTTTGCACCATGTAGGCTCTCCTGGTACTTAGGAAAGCTATATTGCGGTCAATGGTGGGACAGCTGAGTAGAAGGCTGAAACAGAATGGAACAGACTCCATGCTAGGGATTACCAAAAAAGAGACTTAGGTCTTATGGCCAATATTGTAATGCTGTGTGGCTATGTGCTGTCAAGTTGCTTCCAATTTATACCTGTAGGAAGCTACTGATGATCTACAGAGTTTGTATTTCTGCAATAAAAATGAGTGAAGGCGCAGTCTTATGTATGTCTACAACAAGGAGTCATGTGGCAGTTTTAAGACAAGGAAGTTTTACTTGGCAGAAGCATTATGGATTGTAGCCTACTTCTTCAGATCACTCAAAAAACAAAAAAAATATGCTTTTTTTTGTCTGATACATTTTTGTTGTTGCAGATTTTGAATTTTAGTTAAATTCCTCTAGCTATGAAGCAAATGTGCAGGAATTCACAGAGCTGAATAATTTCAGTTTCTCAGAGTAAGCCATCCCTTTCTCATTAACTGGCACTCACACTCAATAACTCATTCTGAGACATTTGAAGAGAAAGAATAAAAATGTTTCAAATAACAGCAAGCTAACAAGTGAATAGATAACAGCAAGCTAACAAACATGATGGACCGCTTTCAGCAACAGTTTTCAACTGACAACCTGCTTCCAAAGGCCAACAGGGGGAAAGAGAGAGCAGAAAGGCAGGGCTCTCTTTGAATCAGAGACTGGGAAGGAACAATTGGTTAATGCTGTATACATTGACTGTCATCCCAACCCCTAAAGGTCCCTCCTAGCCAAATCTGCAAAAGGCAGCATGAGAATTTGGGGGGGGGGGACACAACACCTCCCCACATTGTTTTTGTCTGATGTGCTTGCACTGACTACCATGGCTACTACTTTGAACACTACACTTCTTAAGATCTATTTTTGCTGCAACAGCCTACCACAGCTGGCTGCCCTCTAATTATCCCAAAGCGTGTTGACATTCAAAGGAGGTGGGTGGAGGGAAGACAAAGTATTGCATTCAGTTAGCTAAATTGGGGTCAAATTAAAAAAAAAACCTTTTGCATTAAATCGGTTGTTTAATTTTCATAAACAAGGATACAGTCTTGCTTCAAGCATTCTTCAAAGAGGTTCCTCATTTAAATAAGTCCAGATGCCTTGAAAAGAATTAACATCACGTTATTTTGATTCAGCCCAATCCTTCTTTCAAGTTCTGCTTGCTTGATGATGACTCTTATATTTGTTTATATTTATCATGATGAAATTCCCTCTGTGCTTTTGTTAGCTTCAGTTGAGGAGGGGAGGGGAGGACAGTTTTGAATATAGTGCCTGCCTGTAGAACAACCCAATGCCTGGGATGAGGAACATGTGGTCCTCCAGATGTGGCTAGATCACAACTCCCACCATTTCTCACCATTGGCTACCCAGGCGAGGGCTGATCGGAGCTGGAGCCTAACAACATCTAAAAGCCTACACTTTCCCTTCCCTTGCTGTATAGAACAGCTACGTATATAGGACTAACAATAAGGAGAGATGGACTTTCCCTTCCCTTGCTGTATAGAACAGCTATATAGGACTGACAATAAGGAGAGATGGAGAACTGTTTGCATATGTGATTGTTGCACTTCTAAGTTTTTATTAGAAATTGTTCTTGGATCATTTCTGGTAAAAGTTGATAAAGAAATCCCTTGGATAATAAACAGTTCAGAAGACTGCAGTGTTTAAAAAACAAAACTTGGATCCTGAGGTTGGCAAACAAACAAAATTGCAGGCAATGTTGTATATTATATGGAGGTGGGGGTGGAATTGGCCACATTATCTTTATTTGGACCAGCTAAAAGCCCCTAAAATTGTGCTAATATTCTGAGTTACACAGAACCCTTCCCTAAGCTTAATCTTAGAGGAAAATAAAAATAAACTATTGGTACAGTGCATTGTGGATAACCCTATTTCATTGTTATGATGTGTAGTCAAGAGGCTGCTTGCGAACCACAGAAAAGTTATTTCTTGGCTAGGAGATTCCAGGAGTTGTAATTAAAAAAAACAAAACATTTCTAGGTTCTGGCTGCTCGAACATCAAGATAAGTATTGTGCAATGAGATCTGTGTTTCTCTATGGTTTGAAAGATCTCTGATTATGCCAAGATGAAGATACAAGGGCACCCACTCATCTCTCCTTGGAAAATTAATAGCCAGCCCTTGTTTGAACCTGTCTGTGGTGCTAACTGGGATGCAGTGTGTGGAAATGTTTGTTTGTTTGTTTTTTGTTTGTTTCTTTACTTTGTATACTGCCCCTCTGGCTACCAAGGCCACTCTGGATGGTTCACAATAGAAAATAAAACTACACAATAGAAAATAGTGTATAGAAAATAGAATATATATATAACTTTGATGTTACTTTAATTTATTGTTGTTGACTGTTGTTTTACACACACGCATTAATATTAGAAGTTAGAAACTTAAACTTGAAAATAGAGCACAAAAACTAACATTCAATAAAAGCAATCAGGATGGCGGACTCTCTGATTTAGGGACTGGTAAATACTCTGTGTTCTGTTGGTCTAACATTCTCAAAGGCCTGTCTAAATAACCAGGTTTTCAGGAATCTCTTAAAGGTAGCCAGTGATGAGGTCTGGCAGATATCAGGCGGGAGTCGATTCCACAGACATGGCACTGATTGGACACTGGGGGCTAGACTGGCTTTGCCGTGAGACCAGCAACAGGGGTTTCTCAGCTGAAGTACCCTTTTCTGCTAATGAAATTCACCACCAACACACAAGCTTGAGTGACCGCTCATATGGTTTTATATTTGAAAGGTTGCCAGAGGATGGTCCTCCTTTTGAAAATTAGTGACCCTGAAGTTGCACATTCACAATTAGCAGCTTCTGGATGGCAGACTTGAAGGACAAACAGACCACCTGGCCAAAGTTCTCCACATAGACTGCATTGTGCTTATGTTTAAATTATAAAAAATATGTTCTCATTTTTAATCTACACATAAATCATTGCATGCTATTTTACACTGTTTTATGCAAAATGGCTATTACATTATTGTTTTGACTTCTATACTGGCTCATAATGCTAGAGTACTCTCTGGGCAGTTTACAGTGTAATTAAGCAAGGAACATACCAAGCTGAGTATCAATTATACTGAGCTTGGAAAGGGTGGAAGGCTGAGTCAGCCTTGAACTGGCTATCTGAGACCATCAGGAATGAACCCAGGTCATGAGCGGAGGCTTGACTGCAGTGTTGCAGTTTAACCACTGGACAATTATGCCCTCTTTTGTCCTCTTTTTCCATGATGTGGGCCTTCTCTTTAGATGATATGTAGGTGACTTCCTTATACATGTTAGCTGGTGGCCTTTCAGCTCTTTGTGAGTTTGTGAACTCACTTCTCTTTTTCTGACGTCTTGCAGGTGTTACCTACTCAGACACAATGAGTGCCACAGAGCCGTGCAAGCCCTGTAAGGAATGTGTGGGCCTGGAGAGCATGCTGGCGCCCTGCGTGGAGTCAGATAACACGGTCTGCAAATGCATGTACGGCTACTATCGAGATGAGATGAGCAACGAATGTAAAGAGTGCAAAATCTGCGAAGTGGGCTATGGCCTTGTCTTCCCCTGTGGGGATTCTCAGGACACAATGTGTGAAGAATGCCCTTTGGGGACTTACTCCGACGATGCCAACCACATGGATCCCTGTTTCCCTTGCACGGTGTGTGAAGAGGATGAGATCATCATCAAAGAGTGCACCACAAAATCGGATGCCGAGTGCAGAGGTAATGGGTGCCGGAGACGGAAAAGCTGGCAGGGCAGAAGGGTCAGACCCAGAATGTTGGGATGTGTGCCCAGTTCACTGAGATAAGCAATTTTGGTTGGGCACTACTCCCAGATTTTGGCTTCTTTCTGGAAAGAGAGGTCAGTAGAGACCAGTTGAGGTAGTGGCAGGAGGAAAAGGAAAAAATTCATAAATATATGCCAACAGCACAGGAAGAGATTTAGAAAATGGAGATGTTGGATGTATCTATAGCTTTGCTTTGTAGCACATCCAATCAATCCTGGAAATTTCCTTTTTCTTTTTAAAAGGAAATACAATGTCATTGCCAATTCCCAAGTGTCATTTGGGACCCTCTGGGCTGAAGGGGTTCCAGAGATGTGCCCTGTGCTATGATCCCAAAGGCCTGATTCTGCCTTCTACAGGAAATGAGCCAGAGTGGCCACATTACCCTTTTTTGCGGGGGAGGTGAATGTAGCAAAATTGCATACTGATAAGTTAGCAAATCCATACATATTGCATGCAGCAGTAGAACATGATGGCCAAAATCCTCTTACGTAAAGTTACCACCATGCAAACTGTTGATCTCTCCAGCCACAGGTTCAAATAAATAAATAAATAAATAACATGATGGCCAAAATCCTCTTATGTAAAGTTACCACCATGCAAACTGATGATGTCACCAGCCACAGATCTTTAATCACTCATTAAAAGTTTCATATTTCAGCACCATCCCCACCACCCCACCCCAACTTCCAAGGCTTCCTCAAGATCACTTTTGACCTAGGGAAGCCTTTGAGAGCCCTGGAACTAGAGAAGGGGACTTTCAATGCCCCCAAATTGCTGCCGATATCCGTGTCACCATGATCAGGATTATAGGCAGAGATTTTCAGGCCTTAAAGGCTCCCTCAAACTTTGTCCCAAGGCTTGCCAAGACTTCCCCAGGTCCAAAGGAATCTAGAGGGAGTCTTGGAACCTGGGGTGGAGTGGGAGGTGTAATATAGGAAATTTTTAATGGGCATTAAAAGCCAGCCGCTGATAATGTCATCAGTTCTTATGGGCATAATTGTAAAGAAGAGGATTTTGGCCTGTGTGCCTTTCTATTTACATTAAAATGGTAAATATATTCAGGGTCCCTGGGAGGAGCAACTTCCTCCCCCAGATTTCTATTGGAAGGAAAGTTCAATATTATCTGACATCCATCTCCTTCCTTGTGTATTTGGTTGGTCAAACCTCAGAGGAATCTACCTCAACTTGCCCTCATTACTGGCCACATAAATCTGAACCAGCTTCTACAGTAGCTATGGCTTGGTCACCATGGTAACGGGACCCATCTCCCATGTTGCCTTAGTGGCAAGGCTGGTAGTACTGTGGCATAGGCTGTTTCTTTCTGTGTAGGGACCCCATTGTGCTCTCTTGCCAGGGGTGGGTTAGAGCCTCTTATACATCATCCAAAGAAAGGGGGAGCATATGAACCCTAACCCTTCCTTCTTTCCTTTCATAGGTTATCTGCCTGTAAACCCGGTCTGGACAGTGTCAATAGACAAGTGTCACTCTCCTCTGTAAATCAGGGCAAATTTCCATTATAGCAGGAGCCTGTACAATGGCTAAGGCCATGAAATCTCCCACTGCCCGTGATTATGGCACTTAGCAGAAAAGAGAAATGGATGATCCAGTTGATTTTCTGTCAGACTCGGGAACAGAGTACTGCCTGTTGGGTTTTCCTCTTCAAAGTGTCATTTCAGAAGTGATGGCCATTTCAGGCTTTGCATCCACCCCCAGGCCAGAAGACCTCCTAACAATAGGCAGCCTGTGTCCTTCTCATTCACTGCTCCCATTCAGTCAACCCTGCCCCTTGGCCCCTTTCCACTGCTCTTTGAGAAGGGTGGCTCCCTTTCCATACAGATGCTTAAACATCACTTTACTTTTTGTGATGGATTTCTTCTACATCACAGAAAAACTGAAATCCCAAATAAGAATGAACTAAACAAGTGAAAAGAACAGGTGTGTGAGACTTTTTTTTCCCAAGTAGATAGAACCAATATAAAAATAGCCCCATAGATACAGCACCCACAGCAAAGGTTTGAGGCATCATATCTTAGAGTGGCAATTTGACTGACAAACCTATCCATCATGGTTTTAAAATAAAGCATGATATGCCTGAATCCAGTTGTTGCCCCAGTTAGAGTAGATCCATTGATTCAATAGGATTTGCCTAACTGTTCACTTTCCAATCCACACTTGATGAGTCTACACTAGCTGAGACTAACCATTGGATTCAGGTTATTAAGCACAAAGTTTACAAAAGTTCCTTTTTGGACTACAACTCCCAGAATCTGCCTACCGGCATGGCCACTACCTAAGCTTGTTGGGGGATTCTGGGAGTTGTAGTTGGGAAAGGTCACTCTTCCATGCTTTGTTAGGAAAGGAGAGAAGGGATCAGCAGTAGTTAACACTACTGTATAATGTTTGGATCTCAACACCCAGAATCCTCCAGGAAACATGGACCACTTGTAGACCAAAATAGCAACGTTTTAATGCTCTGGGCCAAAGAACAGTCCTGTAGTCTAGCCAGCAGTTGTGTTGTTGACTTGAAGAATTTAGCCTCTGATTCATGTTTTGAATGAATAAACAAATCAGAGGTGGAAGCAAATGGTGAAGTTGTATAATTGCGTGCAAAGGCATGTGGCCAACACCATGCCCAACCCAACCTCCCTGAAAGCATTGGCGTGAGGAGGAGGAGGAAGATCTGCTTACAGATCCTTCTCCTCCTTCCATCTGCAAGTTTCATTCTTTTAACATATTAACAAAGCCAGAGCAAATCACTCCACTGCCATTCATACTCCCAATACAATTAGCAGCATACCCCTCAGTAGCCTCATCTTTGCCTTCCTTAACCACCAAAGATGAGAAAACAGAACCACCCAGTGTTTCTGTCTTCCTGACCTCCCCCATTCTATTGGCAATGTAAGCTGATGCCCATCTTTTTTAGAACAAATAAGCAGACAAGTTTATTTTGCTTGGCACACAGAGGTAGAGATTTCCTCCCCCCGCCCCCAAATTCCAGAATGGCCAAAGAAACAAAAACATAAACAAGCTGTTCCCATTCCATCCTTTTAATTGTGGTTCAGCCTACAGGATGCCACGGCTGAATCTTTTCAAGGGGTGGCAATAAATGTGGTCCCCTGTGTTAATTGTTGCAGTTCCATCTCCTGTTGAAAAGGACAGCAAAGAAGCCCATGAACAATCTTGCACTGAGTGCCAGTCTCAGATTTCAGGAAACTCTTGCCAAGTCCAAAGTTGAAAGAAAGCACCACTACCTATGAGGGTTGGGGCACTCTGGGAGTTGTAATTCAGAAAAGTAACCTTATCCAGAGGATACATGGAAAACATCCTCTGGACCTCCCTACCACAGTCACTGCCACATACTTGCTTGGTTTCTTTCTCTTGGTCCAATCCACACCACTGTCCAAAATGAAAAGTCACTGCAAGCCAAGACTGTGGCTCCTTCTTCTTCTTCCTGCTAGTTTTGGAGAGGAACACAGATAGCAATAGCAGGGAAGAGACTACAGAGACCTGCAAGTCTTAAACGGCTTCCTGCTGTAGTAGGAGCTGCAGTACACACTTAACTATGTTGGTTACTGATGCCAGACCTTTGGCAATCCTCATTTTCCTCTTCTTGTCAAGTGCTAAAAAAAGCTGTTAAATGTCTTGGAGGGCCAAATTATATATCAGGTTGATGAAATGTTTTCCCTCCAAAGAAGCATTCCTTCAAAGCTTCTATGTCCGCAAAATCAACTTGCAAGTAAAGGCCATTATTTACCTCTGGATCACTGATTTCTAAACAACACCAACCTAATTGGCAAGTTGAGGAGCTGTAGAAACCTCTTGTGGTTGGATAATCAAATGTCTTTTACCTCTTAAGGAAACTATGCTTCTAATTTGAAGTTGATCCTTTGTATAATTTGGCCCATAGGTCCTTGCCTTCTAATTTCCAAGTTGAATCTAAGCACCTGATTTGTTTAATTGAAGCTCCTAGGGTATTTATTGGAATTCCCAGAGTCCCAGTTGTTCTAAACGTTATAGTTTTTGCGGTGGGAGGCAAAAATGTGACAATGTGGTAGAGGATGAAAGGAGATCCCTTTAGTAAATAAGCTGTAGATTTTTCATTGTGGGCTTAAAGAAGTGTGGAGAATGGATGGGGTTGAAAGGTATGTGTGGACACCTCAACAACTGAAAACCACAGGAAATCCATTACTGCTGGGTAGAGTAAATATAATCACTGCACTGTATCCCCTGACAATGAGTAAGCATGGCTGTGATGTAACTGGGCTCCAGATTTTTTTTGGGGGGGGGAGAGGCTGAAGTTTGCACCGTCTGCAGAACAGAAAGAACAGCTGTTCCCTTAGGCATTGCCAAATTCCATAAAACTAAGCAGAGATGGGTCAGGTCAGCAGTTAGATGGGAAACTTTAAAGGAGTGGGAAGATGTGTGGGGGAAGAATATGGCCTCATCTGGGTGGGAGGCTTCTTAGTTCAGCTGTGCTGAATGAAAAACCAATTCCAATTGACAAATGCACACATTTACTCCAATGCTCATCATGTTAGCGTGGGCAAAAAAGTGCCGGCAGAACTTAGGACTCTGGTTTGAATGCTCTTTTTTTTTTTCATTTTCTGAAACAAAAATCACTAATTTGCAGCTGTTATGCACTGTCAAGAAAAAAAGTAACCACAGGCTTCCAAAAGAGGTTTCACAAAGCTGGGGAAGGGAAAGATACCCCAGTTAGCTGTCCACATGCAAGGGCTCGAGTAGGGGGGCAGGGCTGGCTTGCTCCATCTATTCATGGGTTATAATTAACCCTTCTACTGAATGTCTGAACAGGGCTTTTCTACGGCCCTGAAGCAAACATGGGAGCAAACTAGATGCTACAGAGAGCTCATTGTGTGAGGCAGCAGCTCCTCAAGTGTTAAGAGCCATCTGATCATAGTCCCACAAGTTTTTGTGGTCTCTCACAGCTGCTAATCACCTTGCTTTGCTTTGTGTTCGGTCATCAGGAGATAAGCAACAAGGAGCTTAATTTGTAGAGTGATTGTTCAGACACTACACTGGGAGAGAACTGCAGTAGCTGAAAGACTTCCTGTATTTTCTTCTTCTAATAAGTTGTCAACTGTAGTGTTGGGTTTGGTCCTTCAGTAGGAGAACATGGATTGGAACTTGTAACTGCATACTTCTGACTTTCCCACACACCTTTTCTTATTGAGATCTGGGCAAAAGCATATGAGATCTTGTGACTATTGCTCTCCTTGCTTAGCTGATCAAGAGTTATTCTTCTTAATTGTTAACTTCTCCCATGTTTTATTGGCAGCTCTTCACCCACGGTGGACAATGCCCCCAACTAGAGCTCAGACGGATGCCAATGCCAGCACTACAGTCACAGACGCTGCACGCGGTACATTAGCTTTTCTCTTTTCTTTCTGACCCTCCTGAAGCAGTTCCTGATATGCTCTGTTGGTTTGACTCTTAGCAAGGACCTTGCTGAGAACTGTGAGAAGCAGTTTAGATCAAGGGCAGAGAAGAACTTTTAGCCTTCCAAATGTTGCTGGACTATAATTTCCATGATCCCTAACTGTTGACTTCCGTGGCCAGTGCTTATGGAAGTTGCAGTCCAATCATATCTAGAAGGCCACTCATTGCTTGTTCTCAATTATTTATGAAAACAAAAAAAAAACTAGAACTCTCTGAAGCCAGGGGGTGATTACAAAGTTCTTTATGGTAAAGTTCTTTACAACCAGAATTTCAGGGTTATATGCAATCAGGGTCAGATCACAAACATGACAGCAAATGTATATCTCTTCCTCTTATAGTATTATCCTCCAGACACACAAATCTTTCAAGATTGCATGCCTAAGATATCAGATATGCAAACAAAGCCATACTACCTTCCATCTTGAGGATTCAGGAAACAAAATCAGTAAAATTTGCAAAATGTAGATTGAAGGCAAGCTTGTGATAGGATAAACAGATAATGTTTTCCCGTTGAGGTTCTACTGGTTCTAATAATGTGTCAATCATATTATTTAGTTTGCCTCTGAGCCTCCTGCTTTGCTTCCTTCTTTTTGCAGATTTTCACCCAGGAAGCCCCGAAAGCTCCTTACCTGTTACAAACGATCCAAATACTGATGATGTGAAGGGCACCGTGGACTGTGTCACAACCACTTCCCAGTCTGTGGTCCAAAGTGGCACTGCAGACAATCTCATCCCTGTTTATTGCTCCATTTTGGCAGCTGTGGTGGTGGGCCTGGTGGCATACATTGCTTTCAAGAGGTAAAGGAGGCTACTGGGTTCAGAAAGAAGGGGCCTATGTTGGCAGATGAGAGCAGAGTTTGGAAAAGTTACTTTTCTGGACAAGAGCTCCCAGAATCCTCCAGTCAATATGGCCTGTGTCGACATTGGCTGGAGATGTATCAGTCCAAGAAGCTAACTTTTCTAAGCTTTGGTGAGGAGCCAGTGGGTGATTACAAAGGTTGATCCTATTCACTGCCTAATTCTGATCCCAGGAAAACTTAGAGCCCATGAGTCCCCTTCCAAAGTACAGGGGTACAAATCTCTGAAACATTCCTGCAGAGATGATGCAGGCTAAGAGATTCTGGGAGCTATAATCCAAAGAAAGTAAATTTGCTAAACTCCACTCTTTTCAAACCCCGCCCCCCCTTTTTTTTGGCAAAGTAAAGCTTTAAAATAGGGAAGATGAGAATCATGAGTCAGAGGTGGTTCCACTCTACTCTCTCCCTCATTCAGAAACACATGAGAATTGCTGCTCTGGAAAGGGCTCTGTTCCTTGTGGAACCTCGTGGTGCAGTACAGCAGTTAAGACTCTGCTCACGAGCCAGTGGGCTCAGGTAGCCAGCTGAAGACTCACTCAGCTTTCCATCCTTCCAAGATCAGTAAATTGAGTACCCAGCTTGCTGGGCTGGAGTGCAATGTGTAACCTGCAATTGTAAACCACCCAGAGAGTGCTTTAAGTACTATGGGGAGGTATATAAGCAGCACATTTGCTTTTGTAGCATTGCAAATGGTGGTTGGCCCTGGTGGACTCCTAACATGTACTTGCAGCCTGTGTTTATATGGGTCTTATAGGTGACTCTCCCCATTCCTCTCCAGGGTCAGGGGGAAACAGAGGCAACTTAAGCTACATCTAAGGTCCCAGCAGACCGTATTTGGCTGATGGGGAACTACAAGTCAAGTACAGTATCTTGGATGAAGGAATTATGCTTTATATGACATCCCTCCACCAACCCCCTTCACTTCAGTGAGAATTGGGTGCAGAATGTTGTTTCAATCAGGTCCAAAGCTCGCCTGCCCCATTAATTGCAAAATCTGGAGCTGATGTTCTTGGTCATTAGTGTGAAATTTCAAAATTGTAGCTACTGTGAAAGAGCTAGGAAATGTCACTTCTTGTTTTAAGACTACAGCTTCCAGAACTATTCAGCCAGCATGGCTAGTGGGAATTGTATTTGTTTTCTTTTATTTAAAAAAACACTTCTCTAAGGTCTTCCCTGAAACTGTCTATGGAGTTGCTCGTTGTCCCTAAAGATATGCTCAAAAGATTCTTCTGGGGGGCATTGTCTCAGTTTTTGTATTTAAGTTGAAATGTGACTTGAGGAAACCAGCAGGTCTTTTTTGCTGCAGAAAATGGTTGAAAGCCAGTCCTGTCAGGTGTACTATTTTTTCTGATCACCTTGCCAATTCTGGGGGTCTTGATGAAAGTTATAGACATCAAATGGTTGATGAGTTGGGGAGGAAAAATCATTTCTTAGGCTATATAACTCCCAGAATCCTTGGCCGGCAGGGTTCAGGAAGACATAGTACAAAAAAGTAACTTGATAACTACTATTGTGCCTGTAATTTTCAAAGTCCCCTAAGCTGGCTGTCCAAACAGGCTTCCAGCTTCTAGTTCATAACGACACACTCTGTCGCCAATCAGGGAGGCAGTACAGAGGGAATCCCCAGCCTTTTTATCTGGACTGGCTGAACCGTCTATGCTGTGAGGTCTGTCTGAACAAATCCCAGGAATAGATCAAGTACACACACCCATTAATTGTGCTGCGTGTGCGTGTGTGTGTGTGTGTGTGTGTCTTTGTGTGTCTTGGGGGGGCATCCTGGGCTCAGCTGTGAAGTGTTTTCACCTCTAGGTGGAACAGCTGCAAGCAGAACAAGCAGGGTGCCAACAACCGCCCCGTCAATCAGACGCCTTCGCCTGAAGGGGAGAAACTCCACAGCGATAGTGGCATCTCCGTTGACAGCCAAAGTCTCCATGACCAACAGCCGCAGACACAAACTTCATCGATGCAAGGCAAGGGGATAGGGGGGGGGGTGTCTCATGTTGCATGGGGAAAGGGGGGAAAGGGAAGACCCAGGCTCAAAAAAGGAGAGGCACATGTGAAGTCTAGAAATGTTATGTTGGAAGACTACAACCAAGGAGCCGAAAGAGTAACTTTTCCAATCTCTGGATATGTGACACAGAAAGATAGCAAACACTTCGCTATAGCAAGGATGCCTTCTGTGAACTGGAGTTTCACACATTGACTTACTTTGCTACTAGATCCTACCTGTCTCTTGTCCTCTCTTGTAGGTCATCCTATGAAACTCATCATTAGCCCCAAAGACCTGTAGAGGCAGGCCACTGTCTATAAAGCAACAACCTTGTGTGTTTGGAGCACCATCCCCAAAACACCTTAGCCAGCAAGGTTGATGGCCATGTTGGCTTTGGCATTTGGGAAGCTGTACTCCAAAAAGTAACTTTTACAAGCTGTGCAAATGAGACAGGCCAATGAATCATGAAAAATAGGGTGAGAAGAGGACAGCTTTCTCATCCAGTCTCAACATGAACTTCATAGCCCATGGATAAGACAACCTGGGGCCTCCAGATATCTTGGATGTTGGTTCCCCAAATCCCCAATCAGCGTTCTCATGGCAAGGTTCTCATATGCCCAGAAGCAAATCTATAGCTTCAGGAATTATTTCTTGGCTTCCAAGATTGTGGGAAATGCCATAATAGAAAATTATTACAATTTTATTGGATAGCTCCTACATGCATGTCTGTTTCATAATCACTTTAGCATGAATAGAAAATGTTCGGTGTGAAATAATGCAATATTTTGAAAAGATCCACCCATGGTTCTAAATGTACTATAATTGTAATGTTGTTTAGTGGTGTATAATACTAATGATGGTGATGATGTGTCATCAAATTAGTTCTGACTTATGGCGATCCTTTTCAGGGGTTTCAAGGTGGAAGATACTTAGTGTTTTATCATTTCCTTCTTCCGGGGCCCCCACAAGGTCTGTGCAGCTTGCCCAAGGCTACACAGGTTGGCTCTAGTCATAGGAGGCGTAGTGGGGAATCAAACTGCCAGATATGTAAATCACCAAGCTATCCAGCCAGCTAAGCGATATATAAATATAAGTATACTGTACATATATACAGGTGTCATTCTAGTGATTAAAAATCATATATTTTTTCATGGGCAGAATATTTGTAGGAAAATACAGTATTGCAAAACTTCCTTTTAATTCACAGTTAAGATTTTTTTCCTTTGGCTAAGAATCATTTTCTCGCTAGTTAGGGCACTTTCATTCAACATATGTTACCTGCCATTGCAACTCTGCAACACACCAGGAAAGTGCCTGGGAAGCTGCTTTGCCAATTTTTAGCACAGGATTGTGCCACTGATTTTCATTTTATTTAGGGGTTTAAACTTAAAAGTGGCCTCCTCTCCCAAGACCACCCGCCCCTAGATTTAAAATCCCTTTCCCTTAAAGCTCCAATCAATTGTTCAATGCCTGCCTCTGGAGAACAGTCTTTCCCTGCAGACGGAAGGATGACTGGGAAGGCTAGGGTCAGGCTGTCCAGAAAGAAGTTCTGGAGCCTGGGAGCAGCCAGCGAGGTTCTCTTTCTAACCTTCTTGTCCCCCCCCCTCAACCCCATCTCTCCCACTCTAGGTCTTAAAGGAGATGGTAATCTTTACACCAATCTGCCAGCCAACAAGCGGGAAGAAGTGGAGAAGCTGCTGAACGGTTCCACTGAGGAGACCTGGCGCCATTTGGCAGGGGAGCTGGGCTACAAGGAAGATCTCATAGACTCCTTCACCCAGGAGGAATACCCCGTCCGTGCATTGCTGTCCGACTGGTCCAGCAAGGACAGCGCCACAATGGACGCCCTTTACTCTGCCTTGCGGAAAATCCAACGGGGAGACATTGTGGAAAGCCTTTACAGTGAATCCACTGCAAGCTCGCCAGTGTGAAGTGGGGAGAAGGGGCAGAGGTGCTCCAGGCAGCCCCTCTGGGGGTTCCCCTTCACCCTACTCTTTCCTCACTGGTACCTGTCGGGGAGAAAACATGTGAAGGAAACAAATGGAGCTGGTTCCTGTCCCTGATCTGCCATTTTAGGAGAAGCTGGAACAACCCCGTATTCACTGACTTGGTGTTGTTGTATTTTTCTCTCCCTTGTATTTTGATCCAATACCTCTTGCTGGTTGCAGACTGTTAAGCTGAGACAAAAGAAGTGGAGGAAGGTAACTGGGGCAAGTATTTTGTTTTTGTTTTCTCCTGGACGGACAGCATTTCGCTGGTTCTGCTAAAAGGGCAAGCCAAAGAATCACATTCAGTCAATGCCAATTCAGCCTCTTTTTCAGGTGACTCGGTTTTAAACAACCATCTTGGGAGTCTCTCCGTTCCCATCAATTTGAATTCTTCCCCCATGTTTTTAACCCCTCGCCTTTCTGTCACCAGCTCTTCCATTTTATAGTCACCTTGTCCCTTAGGTGGAGAAGTATATGGAGGCCTGGCTGAACCTGTTGAGTGTCTGATGACAGCCTTGAAGAAAGGAGAAGGAGGAAGATGATTGAGCCTGGAGCAGGAGGATATGTGGTCTTGGGAGGACTCTGTGGACATCTGTTTTGAGAGAACTTTCTACAGCATCTCTGGATGGTAGGGAGAGAGGGAGGGAAGGACATGATTTCTGTCTGTCCCACTGACACTGTGAAGATCAAACATTGAAGTTTATGGATGGAGCCAGAAGGGAGACCATCCGCATTTTTACCTGTGCACTAGTGATGACATTCAAGACTGCCCTTGATCCCTGCCTTCTTTTTGCTCAGATACATTCCTACAGCTTGCTAAGCAGCATTGAACCTTGTTCTGTGGCACAGAACTCTCTTCCTGGGTTTGATCAAAGCTACCAGAGTCACAGACTGGAGAGCACTCATTTAAAAGAGGTTATAAGCCATAATGAAGAGGGTGGAACTAGTAAAGTTGAACAAACCAACCAATAGGGCAACTGGCATTCTGTAATGGGTGTGAATTATTAATCACTGTGATGCTATAAACCAAGCCAAATGCCAGCGTCAATTTTAGTCCAGATATTGTGTTGGTGAGACTATAGAAGCTGTGCTCTACATTCTTCCTCTGACTAGTGAACCAATCACTGTGGTTTATTAAAGCCATTACCTTTGTTGCATTTACAAGCAAGATAACCCTGAAGTGGTCTGAAGGCTTATGGTGGAAAAGGGTGTTGTTTTGGTTCAATATCAGTGGCTCCCAACCTTGGGTGACCCAGGTGTTCTTGGACTGCAACTCCCAGAAACCCTGGCCAACACAGATGGTGGTGAAGGCTTCTGGGAATTGCAGTTCAAGAACACCTGGGTCACCCAAGTTTGGGAACTACTGTTCTATGTGAAGAACTGTGAGCAAATCTTTAGAGTTTAAAATAGGTTAAATGTTACTCTTGCATCTATTGAGATACCACATCTAGGATTTACTGGTCTTTTCCATTTTCATAGATATTAGAGTGATATGAAAATTATCAGAGGAGGGGAAGGGTGTCTACAAGGTAAGAGGAATCATCAGAAATCCTTTGGCCAAAATGAGAGAACTGCAACTGAGTCCCTATTACATTTTTTTTCCATTTTACTCTTGCTCTGAACAGTTATGCAAATCAAATGAATTTTGGGATAAGTTTTTGGCACTTTGAAAGCTGGGCCATGACTAGATATAATTTTACTGCTTCTGTTGATCTCCATATATTTAGATCATGAAGAGAAATGTCCCCACCTCTCCCCCGCTTTGGGATGCAAATCCAGAAGAATATTAGGACAAAGTTAACTTCCCATTCCAGTTGAAGATTATAGGTGGGTCTCATTAAGGTTATGGAATAGCCCCCTAGAACTGTTGCTGCTCTGAGCCAAAAATATATTTCATCACCAATTGATTTCATGTTTCACCTAAACAGTAAAACAGCAAAGAATCTTTTGGCAACCTCAAGACTAACATATTGTTTATTTGAATAGATGTCTGTGGACCACAACCTACTTCATCACATGCAAGTAAGCTACAGTCAACAACAGTTCATACCAGATACTTGGGGTCACCAGAGTTTTTGCTGATTTTGCCAAAACAGAGTAATATGGCTAGTCCCCTGAGGAAAGTTGCCTGAGAAGAAACTCACAAAATCTCCTTGAAAGTCTGTTTTAGAGAAAATTGAGGGATTGTTTATAGACATGATGTTCAAACATAGTGAAGGAAAGGAAATAGTGTTATCTGAAGAAAGAAAAAACCTTGTCAGATGACTGGGATTATTTCCCAGTTTGCAGGATACTGCAGGGTATACACCAAAGAACTGGAAACAAATGCTAACAGGAAGAAACTAGAGTAGGAGACAGCAAAGTCACGATTGACTTCTGAGTTGCTTAGAAATGGCCACCCAAGGAAACATGAAACTGCCTTTTACTGGGTGTATCCGTTGGTCGATCTACCACAGTATTGTGTGTGCTATGACTGGCAAGTCCACTTTTCCAGTGATTCAGAAACAGGAGTCTTTTCAGCCCATCTGCAGTATATGAGAGCTTTTCTGAGGTGGAGATGTGGAGCAGTGGTAAGGAATTTTGGCCCTGCCTACAACTCCAATCATCCCTATGCAGCATCATTAGATTTTGTGAACTGTACTTCAAAACATTTTTGGGCTAAATGTTTCCCTGCCCTAATGTAGAGGATTGAGCCTGGGACCTTCCATGTGCAAGCATGTGTTTCACCACTAAGTTATGGGCTATCTGAAGACCTAGCAAAAGGGTCCTTTGGAGTACAATCTCAGGAGCATTTAATCACTGTTACCCCTCCCACAATCACATGCCCCTTATTTCTCCTGTGAATAAATGTGCAGTCACCTTCCCAAAGAAACAAAAAACCCCGATGCAAAATATTTCATCTTTTCTTAAACATTCAAGACTCATGAACATGTTTATCTCTCCTGTTATGCTGCAGTCAACTCTCCTTTTTGGGAGCATCACTGTGTACTATACATTTTCATGCATAGAGAAATGAAGGCAAAAGATAAACCCATTTGAATTTCAGCTCCCTCCAAGTGACAGTGAGTTGAATTTTCCCCATGTTGGCTGGTCAATTTCTGCAGTTTGCATTCACCCCTTAAAACTACTGCTGCTGTAATTAACATACTGGTGACACAGCACTGATTGCTGCAACTTCTGTCCAGGGGTGCGTAAAACAATGGTGGTACATTAGAGAATGTCCATGCACAGATCAGTAGTAGTGAGAAAATAGCAGCATGTATTCAACCAAACATCTTATTTCACTCTTTAAAGCAGAGATGGGCATATCCACTAGTTCCCACTTTTAGAAAGACTAACAGCAACACTTTCCAACGGATTCAATGAAATGCATTGGAATTCCAGCTCAGCAGCAAGAGTTCAATGTACATCACACAAAAGCTTCCATCAGGTTGAAGTCAGTGGCTGCACGACACTCTGGCAACCTCTACAGGTATACATAGAGCAGAGTGGGTACCATGTAGCCTGTGAGCTAACAACCATTTTTGCAGGGGCTCCATCATTCCTAACTATTAAGGTCTAAAAAATAAATAAATTCAAAATTAATTTTTCTGCCCACTATGTGTATGTGGCCACAAAAGAACCAGTATTTAAAAAATGTTAAGTTAATCTTGTATTTCCGCTTTAAAAAACCCTTGAAGCAACATTTACAGCAAATAACCACGGGGATTTCAAATAATAATAACATAGATATGAGCATTAACATCTTTGCTGCCTCCCTTTTGCCCTGCCTCCTTAGGAGTGCAGCACTTGGGCATCTGGTGTATCTTAAAAATGGCCCGAAAACCTGCTGAGATCCTTGATCTAGCACCTTAGAGGATGTTTCTGATCACATTAAGCATCATAGCACATTTGCAGTGCTTTTGGCATGCCACATTGTCAATGACATCACTGACCATGTGCAGGAGTGAAATCTTTATATGTGTGCACAGAGGCCTAAAGAATCTGGTGGAGTAGCCAGGATATTCCAGTAAGTCTTAATTTCATTTTGGGACCACTTCCACCTCAGCCAGAAGAGCTGTGCCTTTCTCTGGTTGTAGTAAAATTTGGCCGCATCCTTGCCTTAAGAGCAAATGGTCATAAATAGTGCCTCTGGTTAATTCCTATAATAATATAGTAATAAAGGGCCATGGAACAGGTGCAGTTGCATTATTCTCAAACTACTACCTCTGGAAGATCAGAAAATCCAACGCCATCAATTTTATCTACTCTACCAGCAACAAGATGCCTACAACTTACTTTCTTTGTGTGATAACAATCCACTGCTGATAAATCGCACTCTGCGTATTGGATTGGAAGTAAAGCTGAGGGATCATCTCATGCATCAAGGTCTACTGAACTAGAAAAATGCTTAGACCATCATGGGTTAGAAAATTTATTTTCCCAGACTAGTTCCCAGAATCTTCCAACTTCAGCAGTCATACTGGCTAGGAGATTCTGAAAGTTGTAGCCCAAGAAATAACATCTCTAAGCTCTACAAGCTATTCTGCTCTTGAAAGCCCCCAGAAGGTATAATTTCAGCCTGGCAATACAGGGTAGTCTTTTTTCACTCTTTCAACATTCTGGTTTATAGTCATGAGAAAATAATATTCCATACTAGGGTTGTTAACATGTTCCCTGATCTGATCTGAAGGTGATTTGGAGGCTTTAGAATGCATCCCTATTCAGGCCAAAGCGATTTGTTTCCCCAGATATGAGTCCGTTTATAAGGCTCTCACTGACCTGCACAGAAAAGCAAAACAGCTGTAACTTTGTTTTTTTACAACTTTGGTTGGAACTTCATACAGATCAATCAATCAGGCCAATTCAGTTCTGGATTTGAGATTTGGCTAACTCTGGTGCAGAGCCCTACTGTGCACGTGTACAGATATGCATCCTATGCAAAAAAGACACATATGTACATGTTCTTTGCTAGTCACATGGAGATAAATGGAGAATTACATCCAGATGTTGTGGTGCTGAATACTTCTGTTGTGAGCTCTACTCACTTCAGTGCCCCTCCCCATTTTCTTCCCATTACTTTGGAGTTTTGTGTGGGGGACATGCCCATGCCCAGTCCAAGCTATATCAATATATTTGATTTCTCCATTACATTTATGGACAGGCCTAACTTCCATCTCTGAGGAACATGTTAAAATAGTTTCTCAGTATGAACCATTTAATGACTTGTCCAGACAAGAAGATAGTGCTGTTAGAATTCTTTTATAATCTCTCTCCCTTTCTCTGTCTTGTCCATACTGCTTCATTCTCCCTCTCAGCCAGCTGTTAAGTGTTTTTCTCTCAGCTCATCAACACTTTGTGCCATCGAAATATCACCAGTCTGCTCAGCAGGATTCATCCCATAGGTTTCCCCCTCAATCTTTTTCACATCCTACAAACCTCAGAGTTATCCCAAAGAAGCTGGTACCTCATCTTATGTGTGGATCCTACAACTTGAGCTACATCTGCGCACACACAATAAATCATGATGTATTCTTAGAAGGGCTGATATGTAACATCATTAGGATCCCTCAGTCTTTCAGAGAAGCCCATTCTTTCTCCTCTTGTTCTTCATCTGGTGCCATTTTGGGGCCAGCCAACCACGTTCAGGAATGACTTTGTAGGCTGGAGAGAAAGCAAGAATCTGAATCAAGGATGGACAAAGGGCATCTCTCCAGATGTGGTTGGATTGCAACCTCCAGTGTTCCTCATCATTGATTATGCTGGCTCATGCTGATGGGAGTAGAAGATGTGGTTGGATTGCAACCTCCAGTGTTTCTCATCATTGATTATGCTGGCTCACACTGATGGGAGTAGAAGTCCAACAACATCTGGAGAGCTGCACATTACCTACCCTGTAATCTGCATCCACAAAAACAAGGGAGTTTGTTGAGTACCTGAGTAATGCATTGTTCAAATAAAGGATGTGGGCCGAGGAGATGGATTTTCAAAGTGGCCATCAGAGGCAAGACCTGAGTAGGGCTGTTAAGTTATAGGACTTTTTGGAGGTTGTTAATTTTTAGGGTCACCATAAGTGAAAAACAACTTGATGGCACATGAAAACAAGCACCACCACCAACACAGCAGTACTCTATCAGTACCATGTTGTGTCACATATTTCTGTATCTTAGCATATATTGAACTTGCCTGGTAGGACAATTAAGAAGGAGATGTTTGCAGTCTTCTATTATATACAGGTGTGACTGAAGATATCTCCAGTATGAGTGTTAGGGTGCATCAGGATGACATAACTGATTAAAAATACAGACAGAACCCTGCT